CTAGGAAAGTAGCCTCCTGAAATAAAGACCAGAAGGTCAAGAGACTGCAAAGAATAGTAGCAAAGACTGATGATGAGGTGCAGGTGTAGAAAAGTTACTTATGAGAAACAATTACTAATGTCAGTGGATGAGAATGAAAGCTAGAGGATGGTGATTGGAATGGTACCGAGTAACAATAAAGAGATTTATGTATGCAGGTGACAGTAGTAGCCGGAAAGAGCAATGAGGAATAATGACAATTCTGTACCACCTCTACCCACCCTTTACCTAACTGTGGTATTCTAGATATCAGAACATATCTTTCAGGAAAAAAAAAAAAAAAAAAACTGCTAGGAAGGCTGAATCCTAAGAAATGCTAGTTAAGGCAACTAGTTTTTAATGGATAAAAAATTCTGCAGGACTGAAGTTTCACAATAGAATAATTCACACAGGCATAGAGGAAAAGCTTAGCAGGAAATTCCTGTTTTGAACTTGGGTAGGTTCAACCAAGGCAAAAAGATGTTTCCCTGGTCTTCTGAGACTTTCTTGTGATAGAAAAGGGATGAGTTTTATTTTTAATAGAGCTACTGCTATATTATAAATGCTTTATTTTTCTTCCTAGAAAACAATCATTCCAATTTTATTTTAGTCTCTAGTAACCGGCAACAAACTCCATTTTGAAAAAAAGTGTTCTTTCTATTTATTTAGGTACTTGGGATTGAATCCAAGGGCAGTTTATCACCGAGGTACATCCCCATTCCTTGTATTTTTTTTGGAGACAAGGTCTTACTAAGTATCTTAGGAGCTTGCTAAATTGCTGAACCTTGAACTTGGGACCCTTCTGCTTCGGCTTCATGAATTGATGGAATTACAGGTGTGCACCCCAGCGAAAGCTGTGGTTGATTTTTTTTTTTTTTTTTTTAAACAAGAGGAAACTCTGAGTTTTATAAACAACTTTTTATTCACAACCTAATAATTTACTAATCCTAAAAATAATTCCTTACTCTCCGTGGCAACTTCCTAAACTAGAAATGCTTGTTTTCCCTTTTTCCGTTTCAAAATTAGCTTTGTCACACTAGGTTTAACCCTGTTTATTCTTGCTTTCACAGAGCATCTTAAGTAATTCAGTTTTTTTTAAGATCATCCTACTGATTTATTTATCCTCTCCTGTCTTCTGTCATCTCTTAGCAGATATGCTTTTTAAAGCATTACTTTAATTATATGAGTAAATTTACAGTATTTGTCTAATATGTAAACTTAAGAATAGCTATTTTAGATTCCTATGGTAATGAAACACTGTTTGGCAGTAATAAATATTTTAGCAAATTTAATAGGCTACTATTGAAGTTAATTTAGGTAACTATAAAGAATCTAAAGGTACATTATAATTTAGTATTTTATATTTCCATACTATATACAATTAGCTAAAAATGGCCAAATAACAACCTGTATAAATGGTAAATATTTTAACAAAATATCTATAAGAGTGTTGTACTTAAAGAACAAGCTGTATCTAATGAAAATTAAATGTAAGAAAATTTCTATCATGAGAATGTACAGCTCCTTTTAAGTTACATGTTGAGTCAAAGTTCAGTTTGCATCTCACAAAATGTTGTCCAAAATAACAATAACTTTTATTAAATAAAGAAATCAAGGTTGAACAAATTTAGAAGGAAATGGAGAATGCAACTCATACTCAAAAAAGAGATTCTGCAAATCTTTCCTACAAAGAGGACCATTCTATCCCGGAGTATCTATAAGAAAGACAGTACATTTACTTTCTTATGCTATAACAACCAAGCCTGGTGTTTCTTTCAAAGTCTTTGTCAATCAAAATTAAAGCATGAAAGACAATTATTCAGTGCTTTCCAATACTTTTCTCCTCAAGAACACACTGGGAAAAAAAAAAAAAAAAACTGTAAGGCAATCAGTCTGGATGTTCTGATTACTTTAATCCAGTAAAGGTGAAATGCACTGGCAAACTCTAATTTAGAGAAGGATCATAAGGACAACCTAGAAAATAACCTCTTCCTCTACAGGCATCATAAAAGAGAGTAAGTTATATGTAAATATCATAGGAAATAATTTTTGATTACTTCTAGTAAGAAAATGCATGAATGAGTGAATGAGTAATGACTCAACATAGAATGATGCCTTCTTAGAAAAAAATTCCTGGGCAGCCTGCTTTTTATTTGTACTGGCTCTGTTATTTAAAAAAAAAAAAAAAATGAATACAGCTGTCCCTCAGTATTTAAGGAGGTTGGTTCCAGAACCCCCACCCAGGCCCCAGCAGATACCAAAAGGTGAGGATGCCCAAGGCCCTTACATAAAAAGGTGTAGTATTTGCCCACAATCTACACACATCCTCTCATACAGTTTAAATTATCTCTAGATTACTTATGATACTTAGTACAATTGCAAATGCTATGAAAGTAGTTTTATACTCTGTTGTATAGGGAATAATGACTAGGAAAAAAGTATATGTTTTCAGTATTTAAAAAAATTTTTTTTATTCCTCAGTTGGTTGAATCTGCAAATGCAGAAACTGTGATTCCAAGGACCAATTGTATAATATAACCCTCTAGGAAATAATAATAAGAATTATTTTTAGTACATATAATTGTAAATCAAAGGTTGGAAAAGTCTTCTGCAATAGCACTGTTTCTCTCATCATTGAGAAAAGTTCTTTCTTCTTCACTATGGTTACTAGTATTCTAACTTACAAACATCCTTTAAAATATTATCTAGTATGTCTTTTTAGCCAACAAATAACTATGTGCACTTTCCTTTATTGTTTATCTATTATTTCTTAAAGGTTACAAAATTATTCATGGAGCACTGGGGCAAGAAGTTATATAACCAAGAGGCAAATGGGTACAGAATCATTTTTGTCTGTTTTTATATAATGAATTATTACATAGGAAAAACTATGAAAATGGACTGTTTTATTACTGAGAAAGCTTTTAAAAGAAAGCTATCATTAATTTGGGAAGAACCTGGTAGTTACAGTGTACTTCTTAAAAAAAAAAGAAAAAAGAAAGGAAAAAAGCAAAATCCAGAAAGAGAGACTAGAAAAACACTAATCAATAAAAATACCAATTAATGATTGTGAAAGTATGTATACTTCTAATTCATCACTGGGTTCTTCAGAAATAGTGCTGGAAGTCTATCACTCAGCAGAGGAGGCGAATTATCTGCTTATTTCAATGCTACCATCTCATTTCTCGTCCGACTCTGCAACACTGCTGTTTTCAATTGATCGCCATGTTACTACCTCTGCCTTTGATCAAATAAGTCCCCACAACCTAGAATGCTTTACTATAGCTAATCCCTGTAAGAAATATGGCAACCCTCCATTTTTTCCTTTATGTTGACTCTGAGATGTTTATTATCTGTTTTACAAATAACAGGGTTCCTCAAGGAGAATTAACTAGGTGAAACAACAGGTGTTCTGATTTCTGGTCAGTACTTTTAGCAGAAGAGCCTATTTTCTTGCTAACATATCATGATTCCATACTCTAGGAGAAGATTAAGTGTATTTCTCCCTCCCTCTTAAACCCTATTCACAGGGAATAGATTTATGTTCTTTCTGAATCCCATGTTTATTTTTATTAGCTTTATGTAAAAGCCACATTCTGAACCATCACTGAATCCATTAATCTGAGTTATCTTTGACCAGCCTCACTCTAAGTTAATATAGATTTGATCCTTTAATTATTCTAAAATAAACTGTTCATCTCTGTTAATATACCCCAAATTCTGTTTTACTAATTTATTTTCTATTTTACATCTAAGTCATCTTTTCCTTGTTCTTATGATTTTCCTAGCAAGTTTTCTCCCCCCAACTCTTACTCCATTTTTGACTTTTTTTTATTTCTATTATTTTAAAGTTTCATTTAAAAAAAAAAAAAAAACACCTTAGATCTTATTTTGCTCAATTTCTAAAATCTACAACTTATTTTTCAGCAACATTTCCAGTTATCTTTGCTCATACCAAAAACATTATACTGTAGACAGGTCACTATAAGCCTTTTCTTAGATGTCTTCAAGCTTTAAAAAGTATTATCATGTGTCACATATTTTTTCATCTAAGGCTAAAAGCACCTTAAATATTTAAACTTTTTAAAAGATAACATGTTAAATTTATTATATTCACTTCTGACTTCAACTGGATTTTCTACAACACCAAATGCCACTCTTGTTAATTGAGATACACTGTGTGTGTAACAGAAGTAAATTTTGAAATTGTAAAACATTGGAGTTAAAACACTTTCAAGATGATTTAAGGTAACTCTCCCTTTAACTCTCCATGTGACGGGGCCACAGATAAGTTAAACAACTCAAGAAACCAAAACCCCCAAATAAAAGAAGGTTGCATTCAAAATGTTCATGTATGAAAGAATTATTTGGATAAAGAATTGTTTATTAAAACACACTTCCAGGGGCTGGGGACGTAGCTCAAGCGGTAGCGCGCTCGCCTGGCATGTGTGTGGCCTGGGTTCGATCCTCAGCACCACATACAAACAAAAGGTGTTGTATCTGCCAAAAAATAAATATTAAAAAAAAAAAAAAAAAACACCCACACTTCCACAAATACAACACATAAGTTAAACAGCCTCATAAACTGGTTCACAAATGTATATTTAAAGGGAATTCTAGTTACTTTCAAGGGTCTTAAAAATTTCAAGCACTTTTCATTTTGGTTGTTTATGCTCTCCTTTTCCTTTATGCATAAATGATACTATATCACTCAGCTTTTTATATATGATTGGGCTATTCATTAATATTCTTGCACTAAGCTTAAACAGAAAAGCAGCACACACATCCAATGTGTATGTCAGATCCAGTTCTGAAAACTGTCATATTTCACTGTCTTTAACAGAAAAATAGCTCCAGGAACACAATCAGAGTCACAAGAAAAAATAATTCTTGTAAGTAATATACTAATCATAAATTTAAATAGATAATCCATTTTGTAGAACATATCCTAAACTTATAGTGATAGATACATTATTCATTACCATTTTGTCCCTGAGTCGCTCTCCACGGATAAAAAAGTCAGCACAGCCATTCTCTTCCTGATGAGGGACTTTGAAGACAGTGACGCTGCTTAGTCCACTCCCTCCAAGGGGTAACCATCCACCACTTGAGTCATCTCGGGTCATCACCACAGCTCGCACTCGTGCATAACTATTACTAAAATAGAAGCAAAGATTGGGAATTAGCTTTTCCATAAACAAAAATAAGCCGGGCTGTCAGTTTTAAGAATCCAAAGGTCACAAATAGTTAACATGTGCAGACTGACAGGTTTACTATTTCTATGACAGTCCACAGGAAAAAAAAAGTACTTGAAAAAAAATCATAAAATAACTACACTTAAAGGTTATTCTTTATTTTGAATATTAACCTTATAATAAAAGGCTACAACACTCATATTTTAATTTATCATTTTAGTAGTCCAAGCATATTTGATCCTCACAAAGGGGGTCGTGAAGTAGGCCCACAGACAAATATTGTCAAACTACACTGGCTATCATCAAACTTCTCTCTATGTGTCCATTTGTTGCAGCATTAGAGCCAGGACAAATTACTGCAATATTTCAGCACATTTAACTGTAGCATCTCTAAGTTCTTAATCATTCTGGAATACACCATACATGAAATGTTAAAACAAACATGCTTAGGCTTACATGTCACATTTTTTTCCTAACAAATGGAAATCTAAATAATTTACACAAATTATATGCAGAATAAATATATAAATATTAATATAGTTAGTAAGCAAACTGGTGTGTAGAAAGCTTTCATGATTTCTTTCTGGCAGACTATCTTAAGAGACTGCAGTCTAGTTCCATCTCAGAATCATTTCCCAATGTTAACAAAGATCTTTACATAAAATCTAGAAAATATGTTTAACATACTAAATGTTCTACAAAACCGACATCTAAGACTTTTAGTTCTGAAACTTTTAATATAATACATAGTAATAGAATCCTAAGAGCAGTACACCTTGCTGACTTCTTAGAAAATTATATTGAATGTAACTTAAACATGTCTTGGTTATTATGAATATCAATTGAGGGCCTATGTAACGGTTCTGTGCTTTTTAGCATGTCACTGCACTAAGTTGTCTGTTGTCACTGTCTGAAAGCTTCCCCTTGCTTTAAAAAAAAAAAAAAAAAAACCAAAAACTTTATATATTTATTTGAAGTATACTTTACATACAATAACATGCATCAATTTAAATACAGAATTTAGAGTTACTGAATGCTAGCAAATGTATATATGTATATGTGTGTACACACACACACACACACACACACACACACACACACACACACAGATAGTCCTATCTGAATCTCAGCTATAGTCCACAAATTTGTATGGTGAAATCCCTAATAAAGTAATGGTATCAGAGGTGGCGGGGGACGGGGGCAGGTGATTAGATCACGAAGGTAATGCCCTCATCATTAGGTTATAATCATTATAAAAGAAACCCCCCAAAGCTACCTCTTTCTTTCCACCATGTAGTAATGGCTAGAAGGTACGATTCAAGAATCAAAAGTAGGTCTTCACTGGACACCAAATCTGTTGATACCTTCATCTTGAACTTCCTACCCTCTATAACTGAGAAATTTCTATTGTGTATAAGCTATAAGTAGCTTATACACACGGTATTTTGTTATGGTAGCCCAAACAGACTAAGACATGTAGAACAACCTAATAATCAAGATATAAGGAAGGCATTTTTATCACTTTAGAAAATTCCTTTATGTCTCCTTTCTGCCAAGTAAGTAACCATTGTTTTGACTTCTTGTATACTAATTAGTTCAACCTATTCTGAGCTGTTATTAAATGGAATCAAACATAATTATCACTTCTATACCCTGTTAGGGTTTGGATGTGAGGCATTCACCCAAAAAAACTCATGTTAGACAATGCAGGAATTTTCAGGGGTAAAATGTGAGAGCTGTGGATTAAACCATTTGATGGGTTTAATCATCAAAATAGATTATTGGGTGATAACTACAAGTAGGTGAGGTGTACTGGAGGAAGTACGCCACTGGGTGTGTACCCTTGGGATTATGCTGTTTTCCCTGACTCCTAGAGCTCCCTCTCTGCTTCCTGGCTGCCCTGAACTGAGCTGCTTTCCTCCATTATGCCCTTCTATCATGATGCTCTGCCAAAGCAATGGAGTGGGCTGGCCATGGACTGAATCTCTGAAACCATGAACCCCAAATAAACTTTTCTTTCTCCAAATTGTTCTGTGTCTTTTGGTCACAGCATCAAAAAACTGACCAACATACATTCTTTTTATATGACATCTTTTTCTCATGTTGTTTTGTGTATCAGAAGTTCATTTTTCTTTTTACCAAGTCATTCTCAGTTGAATAAATATATCACAATTTTTTCTTTATTCTTTCTTACACAGATGAGCTTATGGACTTTTCCTTGTTGCTGGCTTTGTGAATAAAGCTTTTGTACAAGTCTTTTTGTGGAGATGTTTTCATTTTTCTTAGATAATTACCTAGAAATTGAATTAATGGATCATAAGATAGATACAAGTTTATACAGAAAACTGAAAGTTTTCCTATGTGGTTGTACTGTTATATATTCCATTAATAATGTATGGTGGTTTCATGTGTTCTGTGTCCTTGCCAATATTTAGGGTTTTCAGTTTTTAAAATTTCACTCATTGTGATGTATCCTACTGTGGTTTAAATTTTTCATTTCCCTGATAATGCATAATGTTGAGCATCTTTTCATATAATTTTTCATTTCCCTGATAATGCATAATGTTGAGCATCTTTTCATATATTTAATATAAGATTAACTATTATTATCATCATTATTATTATGTCTACAAAACATTTAAAATAGAAAAAGTTGCCATGTGGTAACTCAAAGCCAGGAAAGAGTAAGGAAACAATAAAATTTACATGGAAAACCATAATTCTCCATTGCTCTCATCAGATTCTTATTTGGGCCCAATTACTGAAAACCTTCAACACAGAGAACTGGTGAGAAGAGGCATAAGGGCTAACTTGGTGTAGATATCAAACTATATTCTTTCTTCTAGGGTAGGATGGAACGAGTACTACTACTACAAATAAACATGGTATGCATCTTGAGACTGTGGAAGCATTACTACATAAATAATCACTTTGGGGAGATAGCTTCAATTCTAAGACAAATGAAGAAGCTCTTAAAAGATGCTTAGTTTTTTCTAATTTAAAATCTAAATGGTACCTAAACTTCTAATCCCTGATTTTATTTAAACAATTATTCTAAATATATCCTTTCACATGTAGTAGAGGAATCAAACTACTGTTTTAATCTATAATAAAACACCAGACTGAGTAATTTACAAAGAACAGAAATTTATTTCACACAGTTCTGGAGGGATCAAGTCACCAGCAGGTTCACTGGTTAAAGGTAGTTCTCTGCTTCCAAGATGGTGCAACTTCTGGAGGACAGGAATGCTGGATTTTTCCACTGCAGAGTTTTAACTGGTTAAAATACTGTATCTTTGGTCTAAAGTGACCTTCTTTTTCAGTTTCTTTTCTCCCTTGCAAATCCTTCTTGCTTTGTGATTACTGAGCCTATTCTATGACCCCTCCCAACTGCTGGAAAAGTAGAAGAAAATGTTTGAAAAGACCAAGTTTAAAACAGAATGTTGAATAATTAAATTCCTTAGAAAATATACAGACTCTTATAACATATTGGGACATGTCTTGGTACACCGAATACTTGAACAGTTTTAATACTGATTCTTATTCTTCTCATTTTCTGATGACTACCAAAAGTTCCCACCTTTTCATTTTCTCCCACTTGCTCACCATAGGGAAACCAGAATATATTCAAAGCCAGATAACATAGCTACTATATGTACTGTACTGCAGACTTGTATATGTGGTAGCATAATGCACTGAATACTTTCATGAACTTATAATAATTAATTAACCATAGTTTGATTTTGTTACTATGAGGTAAAAAAAAAAAATAACTGCCCATGGTGTTTATAAATTAAGGTTCTATCACCTATCAGTTCATTCAACTAAGTAAACTGGAAAAAGTTATCAATCACCATATACAAAATTGACTTGTACAGAATTGTAATTGATCATATATCGGTTTTATTTTTGAACCATTTAAAATATATATTTGTTCTTTACAAAGTGTAATAATTTTATGACTTGAGAGAATGCTATGACTCCACTTAACTCACACTCAAGTTAACTAACTTGCAAGGAAATGTTATCTTGATAAAGCCATAAATCAAAGGACCTAAAAAGCCCATTATAGAGCAATCTTACTTTTCAAGACCCAAGTCAATCTCACATTTGTTCACCTCTTGGAAGGGACTGTGAATCCCCAAAATTGTATTCAAATGTGAGTTCTTAGACATATATGTATTTTCCTAGAGAAGTCAGTACGTAGTTTTCATCACAATTTCAATAGCATAAATGATTACCCTAGCAAACCAATTTTAAGTACTACTACTACAAAAAACAAACAAAATGACTTGTACTGCTCTGGTTCTTGCTCAGATCTGTTTCCTAAGTTCAGATACATTTTAGTTTCCTGCTGATAGTTTATAATACAATGGATGACTGTTCTTAAGCTTAACATTTCTAAAACAAGTTATTTCCCTACTTTTGTCTCTCTTCTCCACAATATACCTTATTAACACCTTGATTTTAGACCAATAAGATCCATTTGGATTTCTGGCCTCCAAACTACAGTGTAATCAATTTCTATTGTTTCAAGCCCCTGAAGTTTGTGTTAATTTATTTCAGCAGCAACAGAAAACTAATATAAAATATAAGGGAAAACCTTCTTGAGGATATGAAAGCAATCTATGCAAGGAGATAAACATAACTATTTTCAATTTCTAACTACAACAGTACTAAAACAACCCTCTCACATACCACAATTGAGAAGAATCCTATTCAGCACAAAAATTTATGCTATTTTTTCCATATAATGTCAAAATATCCTTTGCTTTCTATAGTACATTTTAAGCAAATACCATCCATACAGTAAACATTATCACAGAGACTGAGTTTAGAAGATAAGTATTTAATAGAAGTAATTTAAGATGATATAACACTTCACAATATAAGTACTTGCTTTGCAAACTATATAGACTGCAGATATTCAGAAGATAACCATGTCACTACTCATTTATTTAT